TTTGCAGTGAATTATTTCTTTGACTACAGGCACATCTGTTGGTGGTGGTGGCGGCACTAACCCCATGCCTGGTATCATTGGGTTAATTGGAGTGATTCCAGTCATCATGCTAAGGCTTGGATCAAAGCCTGGTACACAGATTGAATCTGTAAATATATAACATAAAATCCTGGCTTATAAATCTTGAAACCACTTGTTACTATTTTCTTGCACAGACAGTTTCGCTTTAGGCTTTTTTTTTTCCAAGCATCACTGTTAAAAAAAGTAGAAGGGAAAAGGGAAAAGGCAGAGCAAGAAGGAGGAGAGAGGGAGAGAGAGAGGGAGAGGGAGAGGGAGAGGGAGAGGGAAGTGCATTTTCAGTGAAAAAAATAAACTGTGCATAAAGAAGGGTATATTACATAATTTAAAACATTAATATGACTGAGTAAAACACAGCACATTAAAATGTAAAACCATGCACCATGAGTATCTGTTATTATCTGGAATGCAATTTTCTGTTTCATAATGCTACTGTGGTGTACACATTGCCTTCTGACCAGAGTGTACAAAGAATATAATTTAACACCGATATGCCCTCTCCATCTAATTGTCAGACAGATTTATCACAACATAGCCTTCTTACATAAGTGACCTTGATTTACGAACACTACAGAGAAAGATCCATTTCTGGCTGTTTTACAGAAGTGTAGTTAGCCAAGACTTCTAACTATTTTACCCTGGAATATAAAGTTTCAGCTGCATAGAATGGGCTCTTTTTGAACCTTGGAATTAATTCCTTCTTGTCCTGTTATTTAATTGGATTAGTAGATTCTCTTCAATAGGTATTATTAAAATATACCACTACAGACCCATAAAGTAAAATGCATATTTGGCAAACGTTACTCTTTCTCCTTCCTGATCTCTTTGCCAAGACTTCCATACATATTATTTAAAGCCGAAAGATTTACTGGGGAGCACCAGTGCTGTAACACCAAGAATTGTAATAAGCAGATGTTTCAGATGAACTGAGAGCCAACTTCTGAAATTTGCTTTCGTTAAAAACAAGGCTTTGGGTTTCTTGAGGCATAATGAATAAAATATTTTGAGAGACCGATGTCTTTGTTGGCTTAACACTGCTGCTATTTGGCATCATCAATTATTTAAAAGAAGAGAGTTACTTTGGTGTTCTACAGGTTTTCTGCTGAGTTTTCTGGCTAGCAACTAGAAAGTATTTAATGATACATGTAAACACAGGGTTTGGTAGCTCGGGAGCTTGTTTGTTTTGAAGAAGCAAAGAGGGAAACGACTCCTTCTCTAGGATTTTTTTTTAATATATATATTTAGGAAATTTGTGCTACATTTGCTACAAGGCAGCATGATCAACGGAATGTGACCAGAGAGGCCTGTTTTTTCATCCTAAACCTGCTGCTCGGAAGCTATGTGACCCTGGGTCAGCCCGCTGACCTTTCTGTATCTTAATTTCTGCATCTGCAAAACAGGTACAATAATACTCACTTACTGGTGAGGATTAGCTCACATTTTTACAGCACTTTGCAGGTGTAAAACACTTTGTGGGGGCTGAAAATTAGCATTATGATTCCTGTGAAACACCCATAATCATCTTCTCCAGGAAAGACAACTGAGGATTGAGAACCTCTACTCCAGTAGAGCTTGTATCTGTCTCGGCTGCATGCTCCCTGCTCTCCACGCGCTGACTGTGAGCCTTCATCACTTTCAGGCAGTTCTGTATAACAAGCGTAGCAAGCGCACAGCAAGCAAGGATTTGCTTTAGGCTTATTGAAGACTAGTATTAATGAAAACGCATGATATTACATTACTTTTTTTTTAATAAGTGGGCTTATGAAAAAGGATTTTCTCTGGGTGTGATGCTTTTTTCCAATATCAATGTATATGCAATGCTTTTCAGATTAAGCTTTGAAACTCGGAGGCTGCCATTTATTCCACGGGATGCAGTGGTGGACGTATTAAATATTCACGGCTAGTGAGTGCTGGGAGATAAAGTCAGAGGTGAAAGGGCAACATACAATTCAAAGAAGTCCTTAGGCTATGCTAATTTGCTTGATCTCATTTTTAAAAGTCAGACTTCTGACAGTCACAGTAGGCCATCCTGTGCAGCCTTCTCCTGCTGTGGGTGGAAGTTCACCATTACTACTCGCTGCTAAAGCGGCCCGCAGAGCTCTGTGGCATGCAAAGTGGAGCACCACAATATCACTCAATGCGTGGTGTCATACCAATCTTCTCCTAGGATCAGGGAAAACTGGGACTGGAAAGATGTCGAGGGAGGCATCTCGTCCATCTCTGTGGACAAATGTAGGATCAGCTACAGTCCTAGCCAGATACAAAATTTCATATTAAATCCAATATCCATAGTAGACCCACAGCATTCTGAGTCAAGGATGGAGCAGGTGGAAACGTACGAGAAGATGGACCGAAGGCCAAGTTCTCCCTGTCCTGTATGCCTCTTTCAGGTCCTATGTGACAGCCAAGGAAAAACATCGTCATCTGGTGACTGCTACCATGAGTTATATTTAACCATTGCTGTTCTCTCTTTAAGACAACTAGATATGTTTCAGTTTCTCTACAAGAGTAGCAAACTCTGCCTAAACCACAGACACATGCTCTCACTCAAAGGAAAGACAGCAGGTTTCAATAAGGTACAGTTTTCTGAATATTCCTTTGGCAATGGTGAAGATACAGAGAAAAACAAATCTGAAGGAGATGGCAACAAGGAAACTCATGTCTACAAACACTGCTAACATGGCCTCAAAAGGGAGCTGAGAGGAAGAGCTTTTAGGTTGCATGCCAATCAAAGCAGGTTTGTGATTTAAGTGGAAGAAAATTATTTGCCACTAATTCCTGCCACGTTCAAGGAAATGTGACTTTGTAAGTAACTTTGCCTGTGTTAAATAAGTACATGGCTTTGTCATCGGTTTCTTTTACAGCTGGAATCAATCTACAACAGCACGAGCAGAGTGCTGGGGGCCAACACCCCCGAAACGTCCTTCCAGGTGTGCTGGGACTTCATGCCTCCAGAAGGTGACTGTGCTGAGGTGTATTGAAGAGGACTGAGTCAATAATTCTTGAAATCTAATTCCATATCTTGCAGGCACTAATCGAAACCCCACTAAGGTCAATGGCAAGACTACTGAAGGCATGGACAGCTTTTAACCAGGACCAGGTTTGTTTTCTCTGTCCTCTTGAATAAGTTGCTTCAGTTTCCCAATGTGTTAAATTGAGAATGAAATGCTTTTATACATCACATGAGCACTGAGAGGATGCACAAGTACCATTTGTAGAGCAACCTGGAAATGAAACTAATTCTCTGGATACTAAAACCTATTACTACGCATTGCAGTGATGGAAAATTCAGCTGGATTTCTGAACAGTGAAGGTCTTGTTCAGACCCCCGAAGAGATTGGTGGTGCTTGCATCTACAGAGAAGCTGATACATGCCACCTGCATACTGCTGACAAACCACGAAGAGAGCCTACACAAGGGATGTCCAAAGGAAATACTGGTATGGACTCTGAGGTGCAGAGAAAAAGGAACTGATAAAGTCACTGGAAAGGAAAGTCAATAAATTTGCCACATCTGTGATAGGATCCAGAAAAATCCCAAGTTTAACTATATTAATGCTTCTGAGTGGTGCAATAATAGAAGTTGGATATATAGCTCTTGTTTAGGGACAGGGGGCAATCATCTATCAGCATCGCCACTGCAGTCTGCTCCACACGCTGGCATAATGCCTATTTGGAGCAGGACCAGGACACCAGAGTTAGAGCTAGAGACAACTCCTGTTGAACTTAGTGGTAAGTTTGTTGGTCTTCAGAATCAAAGATACTGATAGAGTTATGCAGGATTACAAAAAATGGGAATCAACCCTGCCCCTGTACTTTTTTTAACAGATCCATTTGGATACATGATTATTAAGACATTGTAGACATGAATATGCTACATTAAACACAGACAAATACATTAAATTTACATACTACACATCTGAAGAGTCAAACAAGTAATATTTTATGCTTTCAGTGATCATAGCATTATTTTTAAAGGGATCTATACATATATTTATGCAGCTAGGTAAGGGTTTATGATCTCTTGGAATTACAAAAAACAACTTGGCAGAAGAGAGAAAGTTTACATTTGAAAAGTGTTAATAAATAATTACTAAATGAAATCATTAAAATGAAAAGTAATCAGAGATGATAAAGAATTTTAAGAATAGAAAAGAACATGTTGCTCAAGTTAGAGCCCCTGTGGATACTATATATAAGGCTTGAATATTCACACATTTGTACAAGAAAGTAAAAGCAATGAACATCAACATTTTCAAATCTACGTTCTGCCTAAACTTGGCACAATGAGTTAATTCCTGTTTCATCTAATAAGAAATTGGCATGGTGGAGAACAATGAAAACCTCTGAAGAACAAATATCTGGAATTGGCAGTCAGAGAGGCAAGAAGAAAAATCTTCTTGAACACTTGGAGTAGTTTTTAAAGCTCCGTTTTCTTTCAAGTACAATATAGGAAGAACAAAATGTTTCACATGAAATCTTTGGGTCTGGAAAAAATAGAAGAACAATAAAATCCCTTTAAGGATAACTATATTCTAACACAGTACATCGTGTAAAACAATTGCTTTTATTAGTCTGCATTTTGAGAGTGCAGGAGCAACTTTGTCATCCATAAAAATAGCTACACAATCTTGGAGAAGCATCCTCCTTTCCTTCTTTGGCAACGGTTGCTGTCTGAATCACCTTCTGTTTTTGCCCAAATAACTCCTGCCAACTGTGCTTTTGCGGATTGCACTCCATCACCAATACTAAGTTACCACCCCATTTCCACCAGCCCTTACTACAAGTTATATATCTGCTCAATATTACTTTTTAAGGGTATAACCCCCTATATGATTCTCAGTATTAGCCCTTAGATGTGTCATTTGTTTTGCCTGCAACTGTCAGTCGTTTCTGTGGTGTTTTATGACAGCTGCCAAGTTGTATTTCTGTTGGATGCATAAGAACACCCATGTGTGCAAACACGCATTTGTTTGTGTGCCCCTACTCGCACGCATGGAAGGTTTCCAGCACGGACAACAGGCAGCCTGCTGGTGGCTACAGTGCTCAGATGTGCTGGTCGAACACAC